TTGGCTAGGGTAGCAGCAATTTCTGGAGCATAAGTCTTCAGTACTATTGCCAGAATGTTGTTAGGGCCTATAGCCTTTGCAGTATCCAGTGTCTCCAACCACTTCCTTGTTATCATGTGAAGTAAATCGAATTGGCTGAAGACTGGTATCTATAATGCTGGGGGCCACTGGAGGAGGCCAAGATGTGGATCACTTCTGGCTTAATATTGTTGCAAATACTTCAGTAATACTGAGATAACAAGGTGTAGAGCTGGATGAACATAGCAGGCCAAGCAGCATCAGAGGAGCAGGAAGGCTGACGTTTCAGAAGGGTCTAGGCCCGAAACGCCAGCCTTCCTGCTCCTTTGATGCTGCTTGGCCTGTTGTGTTCATCCAGCTCTACGCCTTGTTATCTCAGATTCTCCAGCATCGGCAGTTCCTACTACTTCAGTAATACTGCTGTTTTTGGCCCTCCCCCACCCCCATCATTGAGGATGGGGATATTTGTGGAGGCTCCTCCCCCAGTGAGTTGTTTAATTGTCCACCACCATTCACAACTGGATATGACAGAACTGTAGAGCTTAGATCTGATCCGTTGGTTGTGGGAATACTTAGCTCTGTCTATCAATTGCTGCTTATGCTGCTTGGTGTGTAAGTCATCCTGTTTGGTGGCTTCACTAGGTTGACAACACATCTTCAGGTATGCCTGGTGCTGCTCCTGGCATGCCCTCCTGCACTCTCCATCGAACCAGGGTTGATCCCCTGGCAAGTCTTGGAGAAGAGCGCGGGCAGCAAGTCCCGGGTGGAGACCAGCGCGGGGGAGGCAGTCCTGGAACTCACCTTGGAGCAGCTGAGTGCCGGTACGGAGCAGGCTGGAGGCTTGGAATGGAGCGGGGTGGCTCTTGGACTGGGGTCTGGTGCAGGCAGTCAGACCATGTGTGGAGGCCCTGCCCTGAGCTGCTACAACGTAATGTTTATTTGAAATATTCTACCTGACTGTAATGTCAATCCTTTAATGATGTCTTATTTATAAGTTATTTTTTAAGCTCTGTGAAGTAGTTTTTATTCCTCTTTTGTATCCAAGATTTGTGCCGAGGTACTTGTTCCTAAGATGGCACCATAAGAGGCAGTCATTGTAAAAGCTTTTCACTGTACTTCTACAATGGAGTACACGTGACAATAAAGGCTATTCTAATCTGATGGTTAGATGGTAATGGTTGAGTGGGAGACATGCTGGACCTGAGGTTATTAATTGTGCTGGAGTAAGATTCTGCTGCTGCTGATGACCCACAGCGCTTCATTAGCTGAAATTTTCCAGATTCCAGTTCAGTAACATTACACTATGCCAACATCTCCTCCAATTTAAGACAGTGTGTTCCAGACTGCAACCATCCTCTGTGTAAAATAATTACTCTTCGAGTTCCCTAAATCCTTCCACCATTGACTTTAAATCTTTGTCTCCTGGTGATGGACCTCTCTATTAATGTTAATGGAATTACATCCTTCCTATTCATTGGATCTAATCTCCTCATCATTTTATACTCCTCAATTAATTCTCCCCTTGGCCTGCTCTGTTCCAAAGAAAACAAATCCAGCCTCCCTAATATTTCCTCACAGCTAAAATTTTCCATTTCCAGTAATGATCTCCTAAATCTCTGCTATAACCTATCTAATGTGATCATATCACCCTGTATATTTCAATCACATCCATTATATATACAATGAATAGCAAAGGACTGAGCCTTGTAGGACGCACTGGAAACAAAAACACCTATCCACTGTTCCTCTTTGAAACTGGTTAAGGAGGCTATTAGATTTTCAACCACTTGAAAATAACGATATTAAGCCAGAAGTGCCAAGATGATAATCCATCTTGGCCTCCTCCAGTGGTTCCCAGCATTATAGATATCAGTCTTTGGCTACTTTCCATTGGATCCCATTGGAGCTTCTAATTTACTGATCAGACTGCCATGTGGGACCATGTCAAAAGATTTTCTAAAGTCCATGTAGACTAATTCAAGCACATTAGCCTCATCCACCCTCCTTGTTATCTTTCCAAAAAGTTGATAAGTTTTGTAACACATTACCTTCTCTTAATAAATTGATGCTGACCATTGATGCGGTCTCCCTGAAAATAATTTTTTCCAGTACTCCTTCCACCTGCAGGATTAGACTGGCTTCTAATTACCTGAGTAGACCCTTTCTCCATTTTTAAACAAAACTACAAAGTTACTGGTCCTCCAGTTCCCCAAACCAAATCCGTAGCTAGAGAGGATTGAAAAATGATAGTCAGAGCCTCCACTACATTTTCCTTGTGATCCCTTAGCAGCCTGAGATAGAATTCACTTGGGTCTGGTCATGTATCCACTTTCAAGGTTGCTAACAGACCTTAATATATTCCTCCCTCCAATTTTATCCCATCGCATACACCACCTCTTTAACTGCATTGTCTGCTTTGATGCCCTTCTCTTACGGAAACAGGTGCAAAATATTCATTAAGAGCCAAGCCCTAGAGCACTCCTCCTGCTTGGTTATTCTTCTGTTCTTTATGTATTTGTAAAATATCTTTACATGCCAATATTTTTTCATATGCTGTCTTTGCTTTCCTCTTTGATATTATCCCTCTTTTTTTTTTACCATTCTCAAGTCTTTCTGCAGTATTGTGGTTTTGGATTGGATATAGTTTCCTGTTTTCCTTGGCATATCCTATCAGTATGATTTTAAACATCTAAGGTTAGGATGGGGGGATTGTGGGGGAATTAGCTAGATTTGTTTGTTCCTCTTTTTCTCATTGTGCGAATGGCTTCGTTCTGAATTCTCTTTAATTTTATCTTGAACGCATTACAGTGACTTTGAGAAGCTGTTTCCAGTCCAATTCGCATCTCAATTCTGTAAAAGATGATGTTCCTCCAGTTTCCCAAGGTTCACTAGACTGATACCAGGTATGGAGGGCCAACCTTATGAGGAAAGGTTGAGTAGATTGGGCCTGAGCTTGTTGGAGTTTAGCAGAATGACAGACAATCTTATTGAAGCATAGTAGGGGGATTGACAGGGTAAATCTGGAGAGGTTGTTTCCCCTCTGTGATAGTCTAGGACTAGAGAGCATAATCTCGGAATAAAGGGGCAACCATTTAAGACAGAGATGAGAAAGAATTGCTTCTCCCAGAGGGTAGAAAATCTGTGGAAATCTTTACCGCAGAGGGCAGTCGATGCAGGTCATTGACTATATTCAAGGCTGAGATAGATTTTTTAATCAGTAAAGGAATCAAGGCTAATGGGGGAAAGGCAGGAAAGCCAATTATCAGATCAGTCATAATCTTATTGAATGGCAGAGCAGACTTGATGGGCCAAAGGGCCTCCTTCTGCTCCTATGTTTTTTAAAAATATTCTTGTACATAGAATATGGAACAAAGAACAGCACAGCACAGGAACGTGCCCTTCAGCCTGCAATGTTATGCCAAACATGATGCCAAATTAAACCAATCCCTTCTGCATGCCCTTGTACATGCATTCTCTCTAAAGCCTTTACATCTTTCCTAAATTGTGATACCCAAAATTAGGTGTATTTCTCTACTTGGGCCTGAACCAGTGTCTTATATGGATGTATCTTGATTTTGTTCCTTATGTAGTCTATGCCTCTGTTTACAAAGCCTAAGATCCTGTACACATTTTTAACCACTAACTGAACCTGGTCTGCTGTCTTTAATGCTTTGTGCACACACATAGCTCCAGATCTCTCTGTTCCTCTTTGGAGATTTTTACTTCATTTTACATTCTTTGTCAAAAATTCCCAAAGACCCTCTCTATATCCATCTGAAGGCTATATTTTGTGGAATAATTGAATAGTTCAACCAGTGAGAGGGGAGTTAGAAAGGGGTTCTTTCAGTCCATTGAGTCTTCAACAGCTTTAGGTAAGGTTTGATTTTCCTGATCATTACCCAGATGCCACCAATATTTTTTACCCTTTCAATTATTTCCTTTTGATGGCTTGCATCGAATCTGTTTCTGCCACACTATCTGGCAGAATATGGCGACTCCCAACCAATAATCCCATCAAATAACTATTCCTCTAGGGCCCTGAGGAGCGTTATAGAACAAAGTAGTCTGGGAATACAGGTTCGTAGCTCCTTGATAGTGGAGTCACAGGTAGACAGGATGGTGAAGAAGGCTTTTGGCATGCTTGCTTTCTTTGGTCAGAGCATTGAGTATAGAAGTTGGGACATTTTGTTGCAGCTGTACAAGACATTGGTAAGGCCATGTTTGGAGTATTGTGTGCAGTTCTGGATGCTGTACTATAGAGAGGATATTATTAAACTAGAAATGGTGTACTAAAGATTTACTAGGATGCTATCTGTTCTGTAAGTTTTGAGTTATAAGGAGAGGCTGGATAGGCTGGGGACTTTTTCCTGGAGCATAGGCGTCTGAGGGGTCACTTCATGGAGGTCTATAAAATCATGAGAGGCACAGACAAGATAGATAACTGACAGCTTTTCCCCATGGTTGGGGAGTCTAAAACCAGACGGCAAAGGTTTAAGATGAGAGGGGAGAGATACAGAAGTGTCCACAGATGCAATTCTTTCACACAGAGGGTGGTGAGTGTCTGGAATGGGCTGCCAGAGATAGTGGTGGAGGTGAGTACAATTTTGTCATTTAAGAAGGATTTAGACAGGTACATGAATGGGATAGGTAAGGAGGGATAAGGACCAAATGCAGGCAAACGGGACCAGTTTAATTGTGAAAACTGGACATTATGGACAAGTTGGCTGAAGGGCCTGTTTCCACGCTGTAAACCTCTATGTCTCTGTGACTCTTGACGTCTCTAGTTAAGCTCAGGTTTTTATTGAGGCAGGTATCGAGTTTATTCACCTCCCCAGATATGTAGAGTGAAACAAGCCATCAAAATCGTCGAGAACATGCTTGTCTGTGAAGGATATTTTTGAACAGTTTTATTTAGTTTGCAGTTTCCAATGTTAACAGCAGTCTCAGTTTGATCTCGATGGATGGCAGCAGTCTGAGGCTCACTAGAAGTAGTTGACCACCCTTCGCAAGGACTGGATGTTTCCATTTTGTGCCTGCCACTCTGTGTGTGAGTGGTAATTTCCTCTTTCCACAATGTACATTCGACCACGGTAATTGGGCTCATCGTATAAAACCCAGCTAAAGATTGAACGGGAGAAACGTTAAACAATTAAATAGTTGCAACCAAACTGCGAGGATTGAATTTTGCAGACAGGTCAGAGGGAAAGGATTTTTTTTTTAACTCCTGTTAGTCCCGTATTAGTGAGGTGGCTGAGTCAAATGCTCCAAAAACAGTTCTGAGGAAGGGTCACCGGACCTGAAACGTTAACTCTGTTTTTTCCTTCACGGATGCTGCCAGACCTGCTGAGCTTTTCCAGCAACTTCAGCTTTGGCTCCAAAAACTGAAACTGCTCCAAGCCTCTTGAGTAGAGGAAATTCAGGGGGGGATCTGCTTGAGGAATTTGAGACGATGAAAGGAATTTTTCGGATAGATGGGCAGAAGCTATTAGCTCCTGTAGGGAGCCAAGGGGAAGAGGACACTGCCATCATTAAGCAGCTCAGGGCTGAGGTCAGCGAGCACTTCGTCATTTCCTTTGAGGTATTTAAGATGCTAAAAGGGATTGACAAAGCAGACATGGAAAGGATGTGTCCCCTTGTGGGGCAGTCTAGAATGAGAGGTTGTAGTTTTAGGCTAAAGAGTGGCAGGTTTAAAACAGAGATAAGGAGAAGTCACTTAAAAGGTCTTGAGTCTGTGGAATTCACTACCCCAGTGTTTGGTGGTCATGAGGACACTGAATATATTTAAAGAGGAGATAGACAGATTTTGAATTAGTAACAGTTTAAAAGGTTAGGAGGAATAGGCATGAAAGTGAAGACTGAGATGAGATCAGCCAGGATCGTATTGAATGGCAGAGCACAGTTGAGGGGCTGAATGGCCTGCTCCTGCTCCCACTTCTCATGTTTGCACAAAGTGATGTGAAAATCTTCTAGCTATTTCCCAAAATAGCTGTCGAGGTTTGTGGTGGAGGGTGAAGGATTGTGGGGAAGTGGTGCTTGGGGAGGGCAATTGAAAATATTAAAACAGGGATTGAGAAATTTTTGTCGGGTAAATGTATTCAGGGATGTGGAAGCGAGGCCATTGGGTGTCCACTGAAGGAACAAATCAGCCATGACCTAACTGTCTGGGGACCAGGCTTGAGGAACTGTGTGGTCTATTCCTGTTCCTGTGTTCCCAGTAACGGACAGTAATTGATATGTAACTGGGGTTTTATGTTACAAAGAGATTTTTGTTTGAGTGAGCAACTAAATGACAACTGACTATTTCAAGCTATGACTTGACTTGTACCATTTCAAAAAGTGAAATTAAAAAGCAGTCGGAAAGCATACAGAGAGGTAGGAGGCAAAGGTAGGGGTAAACGCAGATGGAGAACAGATCAGCCGTGAGCAAAATAGATGGGCTGAATGGCATCCTCCAGTTGTTAAGTTCCTGTAGTCCCCGGACTCTGCTGTGTTAAATGGGTTTCTACAGTTTTATTATTGAGGGTGTTGGGGGAGATATTATTCGTTGCTAGACAAACATTTCTTTTGCCCACTTTTGTTATGCCCTGGGGCAAATTTAGGGATGTTTCTAGGGCTAGTCTTGCGCATTCTACCCAACCTATTTATGCCATTTGTGTGTAAACCTGCTGAGGACTCAGGATCTGGTCAGTGGGGTCTGGGGGCAGGTCCATGTATCTGATAAGAAACCTAAAGCCAGAATGATTATGGCACCGAGGAAGGTGATTTGGGCCATTGACCACTTGCCAGCAGGGTCTGGCATGGGCTCAGAAAGGGGTGACTCCCTACGGAGCAGCAGGATAGCATCCGAAAGCTGTGCTTTTGCAACATTAATCCTCCTCTCGGAGTGTTTCAATCATGTCATTCTCCAGGATTAGTGTCAGGGTCACTATCTGGCCACTGCCCCATTAATCTTAAAGCGGGTGTGGGAATGGTGATTTCTGGAGGTTCTGAAATACCAATCTCTGGAGGTGGAGAAACATTTCAAATAAAAGCATGTGGAATTTTTGACTTTAAAAAGCGAAGCCTGGAATACAAAGAGAATGAATTTATAGCCACCCCTTATAAATCAGAGGATAGATCTCATCAAGAGTTGTCATATTCTGGCCACCAGACTTTAGTTAAGGTCTTGAAGATTGTGAGGAGGTTTGGTACCAATGAGTTTAGTTGTGTGAAGTGGGGAGAGAACTATGGACTGTGTGCCTTGGAGTGGAGAAGTTTAAAGGGTGATTTAATACAAATGTCTAAATAGTACGTGTTTTTAACTAGGTTAGTTGGGGGAAATAGTTTCGACTTGCAAGAAGACGTGTAACCAGGTGGCACAGATTGAAGACAATACAAAGACATCCGGTGCTTGAAAGCCCAATAGAAAATTCAATAATAACTTTCAGGAGGGAACGGGAGATTTATTTAAGATTGTTGGGCTGAGAGAGTGGGACTAATTGGGCAGCTCTTTCAGAGAGCTGGTATAGACTCAACGGGGCTAATGGTCTCCAGCTTTGTTACGTGACTCTATGGAGTAGCTGTCCTGCTTCCGTCTCTTCAACAATATCCATCTATGTTTTTTATAGGCTACTGTCTATGCAAATTCCACATGCTGTTACTTGAAATGTTTCACCACCTCCAGAGATTGGTATTTCAGAACCTCCAGAAATCACTATTCCCACACCCGCTTTAAGATTAATGGGGCAGTGGCCAGATAGTGACCCTGACACTAATCCTGGCTAAGGACATGATTAATGTTGCAAAAGCACGGCTTTTGGATGTTATCCTGCGGCTTTGTAGAGAGTCACCCCAGAGTCCCATTGGACCAAATGCAAGAGGAGAAAAGCCCCTTCTGGGCCTATGCTAGACCCTGCTGGCAAGTGGTCATCCAAGGAAACTTATGAAACAATCAAAGCTGTGTCAGACAAGAGCTTCAAGCCGACAGAGGAAGTGATACTCACGCTCCATCGCCATAAACCCGGATGGAGTTGACGCAGGTTTTGCTCCAGCCTCTACCCTGCAGGAAGGGACAATCCTCACAGAACTCCATACACTGGCCGTTGAAGTCGCAGTTTTCAAACAGTTCTATTCTGTAATGCTCTCCATGCTGAAACAACAAGTCAGGCATAAAGGGTGAGCAAGGGTCATCCATTGGTGCCCATCCATCCTGGAATATTTCCCCGTGCCCGTGCTCAAACAGCACAGGGATGAAAACAGGAACTGGCCTTTTGGCATGACAGGTCAGCCACACCGCCATTTTGTTACCCATGGCAACTCATTATTTGAGGAGACAGAGGGAAAAACTGAAACACAATCTATAACTATCCTGGTGATCAGAGAGCAGTGAATGGCTCCAGCGAATAACAAAATCCAGGACAGAGAAGGCTCAGGGGCGACTTGGTTGAGGTATTTAAATTGCGAGGGGTAAAGATAAACAGGAGGAACCTGTTTCCTTTGGCAGAGAGTTCAAAGCCAGGGGTCATAGATTTCAAGCTAATTGGCGGAAGGATTAGAGGATTAATGAAGAAAACGTTTTTTCTGCAGAGGGTGCTGGGTGGCTGGAATTCACTGCCTGAGTTGATGGTGGAGGTAGAGACTCTAAACACTTTTAAAAAGTACCTGAAACCACACCTTAAACACTGTAAGCTTCAGGGCTATGGGCTTTGTGCAGGAAGATGGGATTAGAAAGGGTATCTGGGTGTTTTGGGGTCAGCATGGAGAAGATGGGGCAAATGGCCTCCTTCCGTGCTGTATCATTTCTATGGTTCTATGGAATATTCCAAATACTCTCACTTCTCAGGGGAGATGGTGGCATGGTGGTTTTGGTTAGTAATCCGGAGACCCAGAGCCAGTGCCCTCAGTACCAAGTCCAAACCCCACCATGGCAACTAGTTAATAAAATCTGGAATTTGAAAGCTAGTCCAAGTAATGGTGACCAGGACAACTATTAACAATTGATCTGGTTCCCTAATGCCCTCTAGGGGGTAAGAAATCTTTACCTATCTTTACCCTACCTTTAACAGCAATGTGGTTATCTCCTAACTGCCCACTGAAATGGACAAGGATGGGAAACAAATGCTGGCCTTGCCAGTGATGACAATATCCCATAAATGATTTTAAAAATCTCACAGTGATAAGGGATAAAATATGTAAACTTGGTGAGACAGCATGGCAGGAATATCGCCAAAAGAAATAGGAGAAAGAGTAGGCCCTTGAAGCTTGAATTTGCATTTGATAAAATCGGGGTTAATCTGACTGTGGCCTCAATCCACTTCTCTGCCTGTCTTCCATAAACCTTAACTCCCCTCTTGATCAACAACCTGCCTAACTCTGCCTCGAATATATTCAAATACACATCCTCTACTGTTCTCAGGGAAAAACAATGCATCACAGTGTGATATGGCAACCACTCTGCCCAAGACTGCAAGAAATTACAGAGACTTGTGAATGCAGCCCAGTCCATCACCAAAACCATCTTTCATTCTGTTGGCTCCGTCTACACTTCCTGCTGCCTCAGGAAAGCAGTCAACATAATCAAAGACCCCTCCTATCCCAGGTATACTGTCTTCCACCCTCCTCCATCGGGCCGCACGGTGGCTCAGTGGTTAGCTTTGCTGCCTCACAGCACCAGGGACCGGGGTTTGATTCCACCCTCAGGTGACTGTCTGTGTGGAGTTTGCACCTTCTCCCCATGTCTGCGTGGGTTTCCTCCAGGTGCTCCGGTTTCCTCCCACAGTCCAAAGATGCGCAGGGTAGGTGGATTGGCCATGCTAAGTTGCCCGTAGAATTCAGGGTTGTGTAGGTTAGTTGGGTTAGACATGGGGAATGCTGGGGTAGGGGAATGGGTCTGGGTGGGATGCTCTTCGGAGGGGCACTGTGGACGTGTTGGGCCGAATGGCCTGTTTCCACCCTGTAGGAATTCTATGATTTCTATGAGAAGATATAAAAGTTTGAAGACACAAACCAACAGATTCAAGAACAGCTTCTTCCCCGCTGACTTATAAACAGACCTCTCATATATTAGAGTTGATCTTTCTCTGTAGTTGTGACACTATATTCTACATTCTGTTCTATTATCCTGGTGTACTTATATAAGGTATGATTTGTCTGGTTAGCACACAATACCTTGCACTGTAACTCGGTACATGTGACAATAATAATAAATCAAATCAAAGAGTGCCACAGACTAACGATGCTGACAGAAATTTGTCCACATTGCCATGTTAAATAGGAGACCCATGATTTTTAAACTGTTCCCATACTTTTTGACTCTCCCATGAGAGATAGCATCCTCCTACTGTCTATTCAGTCAAGCCCCCCCTCAGCATTTTATAGGTGATGTGCTTGGCAAAATCCTGAAGCACCTTGTGTGTAACAGTGTTGTGTGTTTGCCACATGATTATTGAATTCATTGAATCCCTAAAGCATGGGAACAGGCCATTCAGCCCATGAAGTGCATACCAACCCTCCAAGAAGCAGCCCACCCAGACCCATGCCTCTAGTCTATCCCTGTCGCCTTGCGTTTCCCATGGCTAATCCACCTGGCCTGCACATCCCTGTACACTATGGGCAATTTAGCATGGCCAATCCACCTAACCTGCACATCTTTGTGGAGGAAACCAGAGCACCCAGAGGAAACCTACGCAGACACGGGGAGAATGTGCAAACTCCACACAGACAGTTGCCCAAGGGTGGAATTGAACCTGGGTTCCTGGCGCTGTGAGGCAGCAGCGCTAACCACTGAGCCAGTGAGCCACCGTGCTGCCCTGGATGGTAGCCTTTCAGGAGGAAAGCTCACCACTGCATTGTTCAAGGCATCCAGGGATTGACATTATAAGCCCCTTCCTCCCCCAGCCCTCCACTCTGTGCCAGCCGGTGACACCTGAATCTTGAATCAAAATCAGTTATTTGAGCGGCACAGAGCATTCTCATCAATGAGAATTTTAATAGAACATAGAGCATTGCAGCACAGTACAGGCCCTTCAGCCCACGATGTTGTGCTGAACTTTTACCCTAATCCTAAGGTCAATCTAGCCTCCACCCTTATACTATCATCCATATGCCTATCTAATAGCTGCTTAAATGCCCCTAATGAGGCCAACTCCACTACCCTCTCCGGCAATGCATTCCATGCCCCTACCACTCTCTGAGTAAAGAACCTACCTTTGACGTCTCCCCTATATCTACCTCCACTCACTTTAAAACTGTGCCCCCTCATAATAGCTACCTCCACCCCAGGAAAAAGTCTCTGGCTGTCTACTCTATCTATACCTCTGATCATTTTGTACACCTCTATCAAGTCACCTCTCATCCTTCGTCGTTCTAAAGAGAAAAGCCCTAGCTCTCAACCTTTCCTCGTAAGACCTTCCCCCAATTCCAGGCAACATCCTGGTAAATCTCCTCTGCACCTTTTCTAACACTTCCACATCTTTCCTCTAATGAGGGGACCAAAACTGGACACAATACTCCAGATGTGGCCGAACTGGGCTTTTGTATAGCTGGAGCACAACTTCTCGGCTCTTGAACTCAATCCTCTATTAATGAAAGCTAACACACCATACGCCTTCTGAACAACTCTATCCACCTGGGTGGCAGCTCTCAGGGAACTGTGAACATGAACCCCAAGATCCCTTTGATCCTCCACACTGCCAAGAATCTTTCCATTAACCCTGTATTCTGCCTCAAGTTTGTCCTTCCAAAATGAATCACCTCACACTTTTCAGGGTTAAACTCCATCTGCCATTTCTCAGCCCAGCTCTGCATCCTATCAATGTCCCTTTGTAACCTAGAACAGCCCTCTCCACTGTCCACAATGTGACCCACCTTCGTATCGTCCGCGAGCTTGCTAATCCACCCTTCCACTCCTTTGTCCAAATCATTTACAAAAATCATAAATAGAAGAGGACCCAGGACAGATTCTTGTGGTACACCACTCGTAACTGAGCACCATGTTGAATATTTTCCTTTGTCTTCTAAGGGTCAGCCAATTCTGAATCCAATCTGCCACATTTCTCCCTATCACATGCCTCCTTACCTTCTGCATGAGCCTACCATGAGGAACCTTATCAAACGCCCTACTTAAATCCATGTATACCACATCCACTGCTCTACCTTCATCCACGTGTTTGGTCACCTCTTCAAAGAATTCAGTAAGGTTTATGAGGCATGATCTACCCCTCACAAATCTATGCTGACTATCACGAATCAAACTGTGCCTTTCCAAGTGATCATAAATCCTATCTCTCAGAGCCCTGTCCAATAATTTGCCCACCGCTGATGTAAGAATTCAGAGAATTGTGGGCATCGCTGGCTATGCCAACACTTATTGCCTAAAGGTTTGTGCTGAGGCCACTCTTCCACATTGTGTAAACAGCATGAGTACCCACTGCTGTGCCAATGTGATTGGTGTTTTCTAACGTACCATTTTTACGGGCCTGCAGGAGGCCATGTGGTCATTGTGAGCATTCCAGCGGTAAAAGTCAGGATACTCTCCACGCTCGAGGATGTACTGGTGCCCTTTAAAATCCGGGTGGTCATAGCAGATCCAAGCACTGCTCTCTACTCGGATGGAGTTCACTCTGTTCAGAAATCCCCTGTCCTGGAAGTTGTCGCAGTCTCCGCACACCTCCAGCTTTCTGCCTGTAAAACATTTCCCCTCGTAGAAGATGATCTGATGGAGAAAACAGCATAAATACCTCAATGCATGTTCCAGTCGCTCAGCCAACTTCCAAATAATAGGACGATCTGAAGCAAGCTGGCATCTATTGAGCTAATGCAAGCGAGACTGAAACTTCATTGAGAATTTTGCTAAACATGCAAACATACAAATCAGGCCATTCAGCCCCTTCAGCCTGCTCAGCCATTCATGAAAATTATAGCTAATTTGATTGGAACCTCAATTCCACACTTCCGCCCACCTCGTATTAACTTTCCAATCCCTCGCTTAACAAATCATCTACCTACCTCTGCCATAAAATTATTCAGGACTGCACCTCCACCCTCTTTTCAGGAAGAGAGCTCCAAACATTCACATCCCTCTGAGAGAAAGTTTGTTCCCTAACCTCTGTTTTAAAGGGACAACTCCTGATTTTTGAGCTGATTCATCATTCAAGGCACTCCCACAAAAGGAAACATTCTCACCGCAGTTACTTTCCCAAGACCCCTCAGGATTTTAAATGTTTCAGTTAAGTCACCTGTTCCTGTTCAAGTGGTGTATGTGTAAGTGTGTGTGTGTGTGTGTGTGTGTGTGTGTGTGTGTGTGTGTGTTTGGGTGTGTGTGTTTGGTGTGTGCCTGCGTGGAGGTGTGTCTGTGTGTGTATATGTGTGTTTGGGTGTGTGTCTGTGTTGGGGTGTGTGAATATTTGTGTTTGGGTGTGTGTGTGTGTATGTGTGAGTGTTTGTGTGTGGGGGGGGAGTTGGGTGAGAGGGGAGATGGGGAAGGTGATCTCTCTCAGCTAGGTTTCATCTCCGCAACCTCATCATAATCTCTGCTAGTGGGGATAAGGGGACAGGAAATGGAATGGAATGTAAACAGACAAAAAAACAATAAGTTTTAGACCAGCTACAAGAACCTGAGAGGAATCATTGAGACTCACAAGTTAAGATTTGGATATTAGTTCAACTTTAATATTGAGCACAAATTAAGTTTCCTAATAAGAGAAAGAGCCCTCTGACCAGGGTTTACTCTGTAATTACAGACAATTGCTCTGTTCAATAAAATTGACTTGCCTCAAATGTTACAAATTGACCTTCTTACTATAACTAACCAATGAGCAGATCTGAAACATGTGGGAACAGAGTAGGCACAAGCATTGAGCTGAGAGATGATGAAGAGGAACAGTAGAGGTACTTAACGAAATAGCTCACTCTTTCCGCTCAGCAACAGATGAGGAAGATAATGAAGGAAGAATAGCATCGTGCGGAAATTAAAACCCCAAGCTGATGTTGATCTAAACACAATAAAACAAGATTATTCTTCTCTTCCCGTCCCCTTTCTCTTCAGCCTGTTCTGTGCTGAGGCAGCCTCAATCTTTGCCCAGGATGTAAATCAAATGAACAAATCTCGACATGAGTGAAATTTGCTTTTATCAGCTTTGCTGTTAAGTGAAGAAAATATATACCTTGTATTTACATACTGCGTTTCATGACTTTAGAACGAGCTATCGCACTTCACACACTTTTGAAATGTAATTGTCGTTGAGATGTAGGAAAGGGGCAGCCAATTTTGCACTGAGTCCCAGTAAACCTCAATATGTCAATAGCCAGGTAATCGGACATGGGTTTGGTGATGCAGATTGAATATTAGCCAGAACACAAAGGAAAACTCTCCAGCTTTTCTTCAAAGTAGTGCTTTTGGATCTTTTAACATCCACCTGAGTAACAAGGTCACCCAGGTGGACCTCATAGAGTATGAGTTCCCTGATTGGGGATGTTAATCTGGTCCAATCAGGGAGCTCTGGCTGACAAATATAAAAAGGAATGTCAGAGGCTCTATTCACTCTGAGAGCTGGCTCCAAGGAAGCCGGACCAGTATCAAGTACTATACATGTGTAAATAAAGGGTGACTTGGTGACAGGACACTGGCCTCTGTGGAGTTATTTCAGTGACGACGAGAGAAGAAAATGTGTTCCTGAAGAAGTTCACTCGCAACAGTGGTTTTCGAATTAGGGCAAGCATTTCTGGCATCATGCCATTGTTTGGAAAGCTTCACTTGTTCAATCCTGCCATCAAAGATTGGGCCTGGTATGTGGGAAGAATGTCATTTTTTTCTAGGCAAATAACATTGGAACAGGTGAAAAGCAATGAGTAATTCTCCTGACAGGCTGTAGACTCGCAGCCTTTTCGTTTATTAGGATCCTAGCCTTCCCTGAGGCACCAGATCCAAAAACCTTTCAAGAGTTGATGGGTTTAGTTAAGGAATATTACAATATCAAGCTTCCTCTAATTCTGAGTCACTAGTGTTTTTACTCGGCAATTCAAGAACCAGGGGAATTGTATCAGAATTTTTGACTAGATTAAGATGACTGGCAGGGGCATGTAGACTTTGGTTTCACCCTTAATGAGGCACCATTTGGCATGTGGGATTAATGATGTAACCATGCAAAAGCAGCTACTAGCTGAAGCCCAACCAGACACTAAACAAGTAGTACAACTAGCTTTATCATTGCAAAATGTGGCAAGTGGAGCAAATGAGTTGCAGGGTATTTCGATGGAAGTGGACACCCCTCGCCAGGCCGACTGAGCTTGGGGAACACCACTTGGGTGAAAGCAATTGTATGGCCTCACTCAGGACATATCCTGAATTCAGGGACTCTAGGTCAGCCCACAGCAAAAACCCCAAAACACAGCCAAGCCTCATTCAAACATTTTCTTCAGGATCCGGGCCAGCAGGCCACTGTAGTTGCTGCTGGTATGCAGGCTCAAGTTAGCAAAATAATTCCACTAGGCCTGAGTAAGAGAACTGATAGGCCAGTGTCCAGGAGAGTGCACACCCTGGAAACCCCACCTACATCTGGTTTGGAATAGTTAAATTGCTTAGCAACATTCAGGTCAGAACCAATCAAAATAAACATCTGGTTAAATGGTCACCTGGTTCTAATGGAGGTTGAAACCAGCACAGCTGTATCAATGATCGCAGAACCAGTCTTTAACAAGATTCGTTCTGGACTCCAACACCAAAGTTTGTGCAAGACCTCAGTTAGACTAAGAACCGTTACCAGGGAACCTTTATAGATCAAGGGTACAACTTTGGTTCCAGTCTCATATGAGAAGCAGTCAGTTCAGTTACAACTGATGGCTCAGGCCCAATCCTGATAGGGCCGAATTGGTTGAGAAAGAATCATAGAATCCCTACAGTGTGGAAACAGGCCCTTTGGCCCAACAAGTCTACACCTCAGACCCTCAGAGCATTCCCCCTATGACCCACCTAATCTACACATCCCTGAACACTACAGGCAATTTAGCATGGCGAATTCACTTAGCCTGCACATCTTTGGACTGTGGGAGGAAACCGGAGGAAACCCACACAGATATGGGGAGAACGTGCAAACTCCACACAGACAGTTGTCTGAGGGTGGAATTGAACCCGGGTCCCTGGCGCTGTGAGGCAACAATGCTGACCACTGAGCCGTGGTGCCACCAATCAACTGGCTCAACATTTTTCAATTGGAAAATGGCTGCCTGAGTGAAGTCCTAATTAAATACCTGGAAATTTTTCAAGAAGGTCCAGAACTAAGAAAGGAGCCAAGGCCACCTTCCATGTTGACCGGGAAGCAATCCCATGAATCTGAAAGGCCCACCAGTGCCATTTGCCTTACGCAAAAGTAAAGGCAGAAATCAGGGAGGCTGGAAAGTGAGGAAATCATCAAACCAGTCCTGTTGGTGGAATGGGTAGCATCAGTTGTACCGATTGTGAAGCCCAACGGATCAGTTCACCTTTGTGGGGATTTTAAACAAGCCGTAAATTGCTTCTCCCAGCTGGATAAATACCTAATCCTTTGCATAGAGGATATTATATGGAAAGATGGCAGGTGAGGGGTCTGTCCTTCATGAAGCTAGCCGTGAGCCATGTGTACTTGCAGTTGAGGTTAGATGAAGAGTCCTAGAAGTATGCTACAACTAATACGTTTGTACCAATTTTTATGAGACTGCCATTTGGGGTATCATCAGCCTGTGCAATTTTTCAGTGGACGATGAAAAACATTTTACAAGGTCTACCCCAAGCTGTCATTTATCTGGATGACATGCTAACAACACGTAAGACTAATAAAGAGCACTTTGAGAACTTGGACCTAGTCTTTAGACATTTCTCCAAGGTGTGCGTACACCTTAGAAGGGAAAAATGTGTGTTCCAGACACCCTAAGTGACCTATTTGGGCTACAGAGTCAATAAGACCGGTTACACCCATTGGAAGATAAAGTGAGGGTGATCAAAAGTGTCCAACTCCCACGTCTGTACTGGAGCTTAGATCTTTCCTTGGATTGGTGAATTATTACAGAAAGTTCGTACAAAACCTGGCTTCCATCCTGGCACCCTTACATCTACAGTTGAAAATGCATCAGCTGTGGAAAAGGGCCAGTTTAGGACATAGCCTTTAAGGAGGTGAAGAATCAGCAATCATTGTCAAAGGTGTTAGCACATCATGATCCTAAGAGAGATCTGGTGCTGACATGTGATGCCTCCCTGTACAGTATCGGTTCGTGTTAGCTCACAGATAGCCCAGTGGAGTGGAATGACCAATAGCATATGCTTCCTGGACTTTGGCTGATGCAGAGTGCAAATACGCCCAGATGGAGAATGAAGGTTTGGCAGTCATCTTTGCTGTGAGGAAGTTCCCAACAATACCTTTACAGTTGTAAATTTGTAATAGTAACAGACCACAAATCCCTGTTGGGTCTACTCAAAGAGGACAAGCCGTGCTACCCATGACTTCAGGTCATTCTAAATATGTACAATCACAAATTGGAACACTATTCAGAAGGCCAAGTAGCAAATGCGGATGACTTGAACTGCCTCCTACTGGCAGATACACCACTAGTGGTGCCACCACATGAAGAGTTTGTTTTGGTTTTAAACTTTCTGGACACCCATCCAATCACCGCTGACAATATCCAACTGTGGACACAAAAAGATCCTGTCCTGTCGAAACTGAAACAGCTGGTGGTGATGGGGGAACCAAAAGGGCCCTCACAACCAGAATTGAAACCTTTCGGGACCCACTGAGTCCAGAACACCATAGAGGAAAACATTTTACTGTGGGGAGCAAGAGTGATTGTCCTGAGCAAAGGACACTGCCAGGTACTGGCTGAACTCCACCAGGGTCATCCAGGGGTTTCCAAAATGAAGATGTTGGCATGAAGTTATGTCTGGTGGCCAGGACTGAATGCAGGTATAGCTGCTTTGGTGGGGCCATTACCCAAAGTGTCAAATGGACTGGCAGCAACTCCCCAACATGCATGGAAATATCTAGGTAAACCCCGGACTCAGTTACACATTGAATATGCCAGTTCATTCATGGGCTCAATGTCTTTGGTCATTGTGGACATCCATTCAGAATGGTTGGATGTACATAGAGTTCATTTGTCAAATACAGGAACAACAGTAGGAAAGTTGCGAGCATTTTTTGCAATACACAGCCTCCGGGAGGTGTTGGTCACAGATAACGGGCCTTTATTTACCAGCAGGGAGTTTGAGTATTTCCTAAACTCAAATGGCTTTTGGCATATAAGCTCAGCTCCATACCCCCCATCATCCCAACATCTGGCAGAAAGAACAGTCCAAACTTTGAAGGCAGATTTAAAGAAAGAGCCTACAGTTTCACTATACTAAACCATCCCAGTTCCTGCTCAATTATAGGACCACCCTTCACACAACTGCAGGGATAGCTCCAGCACAGTTGCTAACGGGGAGAATACTCAACACCAGGTTAAATCTGATCTTCCTGGACCTTGGGGTGGGGGTATGGTGGAGTCGGAAGGGTGAAACAGCTTCAGGAATGCAAGATGATGGACACAGACTCCTCTAAGCAAAAGAGACAATTTACTTCAGGGGACACAGTTTGTCCCGAAACCATGGTCTGAAAAAATGGGCCCTACATGGGTCATGTAAGAGGTATTGTCGACGCAAGGTCAGGGCCTGTGAATACAGGTCCTGAACAGGCATGTGGACCACATGAAAGCTGCAAACTTACAAACAGGACAGTAGCAAAATGTACCCGGGCCCTCAGAACAGCTGGCAAGGCTGTCGGAACCTGTGGGCTCTCCGCCTCCATCCAGCATCAAAGAAACCTCAGAGTTTGAGATGGACACGGTGGATGTCACATACCGGAGGCTGAGTCGGACGAACCAGACCCGGTGTGTAAACGACCCAGGAGAGGCTACAAGAGAAAGAACAGGCCTATGTCCCTGTACTTAGAGGGGGAGGGATGTTGTGATTGTAACGAGGTCAGCCAGATGGACTTCAGAGAATATGAGTCTCCCGATTGGGGCTGTTAACCTGCTCCAATCAGGGAGCCCTGGCTGACAGATATAAACAGGAGTGTCAGAGGTTCTGCTCACTCTGAGAGTTGGCTCCGAGGAAGCTGGACCAGTGTCAAATACCATGCACATGCAAATAAAGGGTGACTTGGTGTTGGGATACAGGCCTCTTGTGGAATTATTTCACTGAGAGATTTGATGGGGCACTTGGTTGAATCTAAAAGGCAGCGCAGCAGTCCCTTGGTACTGCGCTGGGACAGCCAACTTAGAACTTGTGCTGAAGTCTCTAGAATGGGTTTTGACAGAGATTCAAATAAAAAGTTTAATAAAAAGCACAAAAAATACGAAGGCAAAATTGAATAGGTCGCTCACCTTGCCTGAATACTGTGACATGTTACTGCCGGATTCTGTCCCACTGAGCTGTATGCCAGAACGTCTTTGACACCCGGGGATAATTGGACAGCCCTATATATAACTCTGAGGCCGGGAGTGTTCCACCTCTTGCAAGGCCTCCTTGTCAATGGAACTGCAAAGCTGGGCTGAAAAGGTTTTGCTTTGCTCACAGAACCATTTGGAAAGGATTCTGCTGACCCTGGACATTTGTGGCTACAGCAGGCAGCTCCAACAAAAGGTTCCCTCGAGGGCAAGGATTTTGGAGGATTAGAGCCTTTGTACTTAGTGCCATTAACCTGCTGGTGATAGCTGGGGGTTGCTGTGATTCGGGACAGCTTTGACAGCTGCTTGAATGCGAGAAAGGAAGTGTAACCCATGTGCTAGTCATGACAATGTCCGTGCCAGTGGAGCTTGTACCTTAGAGATTGGTTCATCAAATACACATTGTGGAGCACTCTTTCAAACCACTCAGAAGGTGCTTCACAGAGGGAAAAATCCCCCCAAGGCAGGAAATATTGGGAGAGGGCACTGAAGGCTTGGTCCTAAATTTTGCAATTGCCAACCATTCGACCCAGTCTATAAGAGGATAATATGGCTAAGTGTGAGTGTAGGTTTACCGACCTTTTCAAACAACATCCTTGACAGATTTGGACGCAACCTGAGGTGCAGCAACAGTGAGCGCTTCAAATCTAAGCGAGACCAAATGTTTTCTCCTGAAGAAACTTTCACATTCAGATAGCACTTGGCTTAGCATCGAGACATTCTGAAGAGCTTGATGCATAGGCACTGCCCGAAGGTTGGAAATATATGAGTGAAACTGTCCTTTTGTTGTGAAGCGATTTTTGTTCCCTTCTGCCCTTCCCATGCTCAATAACTGAGTGGTTCGTGGGTGATTGGTGATCTGCTCCTATTGTCCGCTATGGTCGTTGCAAATCTGACTGCTCCATTGTGTCCACCAGCACCAGGTATAGGCTGAACTTTCAATTCCAACATCGCCTCTCTGTGGTGGGGCTCCTCATTTCCATCACCAGAAGTAGTGACATTGTGAAAGGAGGTCTTTAGTGATAAAACATATTGTGGTGTGTTGGGGCAATATAAATGCAAGTTATTTAAGAATATAAGGAAGATGAGCTGGAGTAGGCCATTTAACCTCTTAAAAATCGTAAGATATTGGAGCAGAAGTAGGCCATTCAGCCCCTCAAGCCAATCCACCATTCAGTGAAATCGTGGTTGATCTGATCATTCTCAACTCCACTTTCCCACCTCTTCCCTTGATTCTCTTTCTCAGTCCACTCCAGCCAACCCTGCCCTCATCCCTATGTAATTATTCCTATTTAAGTTCAGCACAGTTGATTCTGACCCAATTCCTCCCTTTCAAACTGAATGCTAGATTCTGCTGTGTTCCGGTCACTGTTCCCAAAGGCATTGTTTACTCTCACATCATTTATTAAACCTGCTTCATTACACATTACTAGATCCAAATTAGTTTGAACAACTGGATGAGCACTTAAAATATCTGGGCACAGTAGGCTATGGACCAAGTGCAGGTAAATGAGATAACAGTAGTTGGTGTTTATTGGCCAGCATAGGTCTGGTAGGCTGAAGGGCCTGTTCCTATGCTGTATAACTCTATGACTAGTTGAGTCCACAACATATTTTTCTAGGACACTGCCCTGAATACAATTTATGGATTCTTCCTTGTGGCTACCTTTGAAAATTCAACTTTTCTCCATGAAGCTTAGAGTCACCTGTATTTTAATGTGCCTTCATTATCTCCTGATTTATTCTCTGTCCTATAGAACAGCTATATGAGGGATTTATAGACTACTGCTAGTGTTATCCTCCCCTTGTTAGTTCTTACATCCACTCATATGGGTTCTACATCATCCATCCTAGATTATTTCTTGCTGTTGCAACATACTCCATCTCAAACTAACAAAGTTACCCCACTATTCTTTCTGTCCTGCCTGTCATTTCAAAGGTTACAAACCCCTGAATAGTTAGTTCCCAGCTTTGATCTCATTGTAACCATTGTTTCTGTAATGGTTATCTGATCATGCCCATTAACCTGTATTGGTGCCGTTAATTAATTTATTTAATTCTGAATACTACACACATTTAAATTGAGCCATTAATTTTGCCTTTTTATCATTTTATCCTCTTTTGACCTTCTTTGCTGCTTTTTCTATGTTTGTACACTGCCCTTTCCTGTCCCATTCTGGGTATCAATATCAAACTTGTTGCCTGGCTGCCATAACATTTTGCTTTGGAAGTCTACATTTCACCTCTACCAACCTTCACCCATCTAATTAGTTGAAAGCCTTCTCTACAGCCCTAATTATTCAATTCACAAGGACCCTGGTCGTAGCTGAGTTCAAGTGAAGCCCTTCCATAATAGTCAGATAGAATCTGGGCACCATTACCATGGGTAAGCTCCATTCACTGCATTATAACTTACTTTGTTTATAATGTCTCTGAGCATGCTTTCAATCTCTTTTTGAACCTGTGCCAATTTTAGAGTGTTAAGCCTATAAGGATATTGCCTAATTGGAACAGCATTTCCTATGTCTAAATCATGCGTAATCAGTTTAGTACTTCCCAGCTTATTCCCACATATGTCTTCATGTAATAACTGTTTCAGGTCATTTTGATTTTCCCCTGGAAAGTAACCCAAAAATGTATTCCAATTTTTGAGAACTTCCTCATTGTCCAAATTAATTTCAGGGATGTCTGATTCAGAATCCTCTGAACTTGGTTCTTCACTCTGTGTTGTAACCAGTAACGCATTCTGCTTTTGCTTTCCTTCCCTATCAAAATACCGTTTGAGCATATTTATAAGACATATACTGTGAATTTTCCTTCCACCTGCAGTTCTTACCAAATAATTCACCTGATTCAATTCTATTTTAAGTTGGTAAGGCCCACTAAAGCTTGCCTTCAAAGGTTCACCTACCATTGGAAGTAACATTTACACTTTATCTCCTCTAGCAAAATTACAAATTTTTGATTTCTTGCTTGCTTCTTGTTTTATCACCTTCTGTGCTACTTTTAAATACCGTCTAGCCAACTCACCTGCTCTATTTAATCCTTCACAAAATTTAACAAATAGCCCAAATATGTGGTCTCTGAACTCTGGCACACTATTTTTTCTTTACTTAATTTCAGTGGTCCTGTCACCTCATGCCCAAAAAACTAATTCATGTGGACGGAATTTAGTTGATTCATTAGGGTGCATCCTAATAGCAAATAGTAATTGGAATTCCTTTATATCTGGATAGTCTTGATTATAGACTGTCAACATGGTCTTTAAAGTTTGACACCACCATTCTAGTGCACTCTGTGATTCTGGATGATACACAGTGGATTTAAATTATTTTATTTCTATGCTATCCATAACTTCCTTGAATAACTTTGATGTAAAATTTGATCTTTGATCCAGTTGTATTTCTGTGGTAGTCTGTATCTAGTAAAAAAAATTGAGTAACTCTTCTACAATCCTTTTAGCTGTGATACTGTGTAATGGAATGGCCTCTGGAAATCTAGTGGACACAGCCATTATAGAACAGAGAACAGTACAGCACAGTACAGGCTCTTCGACCCATGATGTTGAGCCATCCTATTATCCTACTAAGATCAAAATACCCTGCATACCCTACATTATACTATCCCCCATGTGCCTATCCAAGAGTCGCTTAAAAGTCTCTAAAGTATCTGACTCCACTACCACTGCCGGCAGCGCATTCCACACGGTCACCACTCTCTGTGTAAAGAACTTACTTCTGACATTCCCCCTATACCTTCCTCCAATCACCTTAAAATTATGCTCCCTTGTAATAGTCATTTCCGCCCTGGGAAAAAGTCTCTGACTATCCACTCTATCTATGCCTCATCATCTTGTACACCTCTCATCCTTCTTCGCTCCAATGAAAAAAGCCCTAGCTCCCTCAACCTTTCCTCATGAGACCTGCCCTCCAGTCCAGGCAACATCCTGGTAAATCTCTTGGTAAATTATGGTCAACAAATATTGATTCCCACTTATTGTTTTAAGGAGGGGTCCTACGCAATCAATTAAGATCCTTGTAAAAGTTTTCTCAAATACCAAAAGGGGTATTAACTGGACTGGTTTTACTACAGCCTGAGATTTTCCTGTTACCTGAAACATGTGAAATGTCTGGCAAAATTCAACTACATTTTTATTCAGCCCAGGCCAATAAAAATGTTTTTGTGTTTTGGCTTGAGTTTTCCTTACTCCCAAATGACGTCTTACTGATAACTCATGTGCTACCTGCAACTCCTCCGTTCTATAACCCAACTGGTAATATGACTTGATGAATTTCTGCCCATTTTTCATCCATCTGAAATGTGATGGTCCCCATTTCCTCATCAGGACTTCATTTTTAAGATAGTAACATTCTGGGATATGCTCAGATTCTTCTTCGGTGCATGCCTTTTGATACAACTGCTTTAGTTTTCATCTTTCTGTTGTCATTCAGCTAACTTCTCTGAACAAAAAATATCCACTTTGCCCTCCACTTGTTCTTGTTTTTTTCTCAACCATTTGATCAAACACAGAGTTTCTAATAATTGAACTTCAACTTCTTACACTCGTTAAAATACAAACAATAAAGAAGAATGGGCATACCTTTAACTGATTCAAAATACTTAACAAAATAATATTTTATTTAACTACTATTCATCAACTGTTCCGATACAGTAGCATCCCATAAACACACCCTTGGCAAAGGCAAATTCAACGAAACAGATTTCCCTCACTTGCTATCTCTACGGGTTCAGAAGAAGGAACACTGATAAATGAATTTAGCAACAGAGAGAGATATGTATCTAGCAGCTTCAACTTTAAAACACCAACTTCAATGACTGAAAGCAAAACTAAAACCTCGGGTCTGTGTGAGCTTGATTTCACCCTCTCATGCTTATTTTGTTTAATTTTCAAAACAACCCAGAATTATTTACTCTGCTTTCTTCTCAGCAGGACAAAC